TTCGCTATTTTCCAGATACTTGGAAAGTAGTGCAGCTCCAAGCATCTGTTGAAGACAGCAGCCAGCAGAGAGTGAACCTTCATGCTGAGATTTTTCAATACTAGGTTGAATATTCCGTCAAACCCGGGGGCCTTCATGTTTTTGGTGCATTTCAGCGTTGAACAAATCTGTTCCACTGTGATTCTATCCTCCGGAGGGATGGCACAAGGGGAGGAATCAAGGTTGAGTACGCATTGCTCAACCTGAACTTCGAGCGGACTTTGGATGTTGAAGCCAAGCAAGTGCGATTTGGTAATATGCTCACCAATCGCATTTGCTTTCTCCTGAGGGGTGATTATGAGCCGATCGTCATCATTTTCATCTTTGAGTGGAGGAATGGGTTTAGGGTGCGTCTTTAGGACCTTAGCTACCTTCCAGAATGGTCTGGAGCGGTCGTCCAGATTCTGGACAAGCCACCCGAAACTTTCGTTCCGGAGTGAGACCATTCTGGAAGCAATCTCCTTGTTCAGATCGGCCATTTCATGTTTCCTCGCTAGATCTCCAGTCCTCTGAAACTGGCGTCTACGAACATTTCTCAGGCGAATCAAAAGTTGGGTGTGGGAATCAATGGCAATAAACTTACCCCTCACAGGAACTCGTCGGACGCACGCCTCGTCAGCCACGGATATGGCTTGGTGGAGTCCTTCCAACGCTCGGTCGATGTCCTCCACGGTGTCAAGCGGCGGGTTGTCGATGATGTGCCTGTCTACCACGCGTCCAAACTGGGCCCAGTTTACGCGATGATAGTCCTTGCGCAGGCTTGAAGCAGGAGCCACGTTGCAGCCCAGTTCAGCCACCACCGGTTGGTGGTCGGAGCTGAGTTCGTTCAAGGCTACCGGCTTGGACAAGCCGATATTTGTCCGGAACAGGTCTAGCGTCGATGGGTTGCCCGCCGGTGAGATAAATGTTGACTCATCCGAAAACCAGACGGAGTACAGCCCATACTGTGAGTGGTCGAACAGCAGACGACCGTTCTGGTTCTGCTGGTAGTTCCGCCAGGCCTCATGGCGAGCGTTTATATCTCCTCCTATTACGAAGCGGGAACCGGTACGGGTGATGGTGGACAGGTCCTTCTTGAATTTAGCCGCTAGTCCACTGCTGGCGGCACACTGTCGAGGGCAGTAGACGGCGATGAACTGGACGTATCCAGTCGACGACTCCACCTCCACACCAAGGGCCTCGATGATAGAGGTGCGGATATGGGACAGAGTGTGGTATTTTATTCTTTCCTTGACGATGACCGCAACACCACCCCCCCTGGAGCTGGTGCGATCAAGCCGGATAATGTTGTGGTAAGGCAACCAGAAGCTGTCGCCGGACTTTAGATGGGTCTCGATTAGAAGGCCCACGTCGATGCTGTGCTTGCGGAGGAAGTCAGCAAGCTCAATCTCTTTTGCTCTTACAGATCAAGCATTCCAGGTGACGATAGTTAGCGGTTTAGACGCCATACTGGATGATGAACTTACCGAGCCCTTGGATCTGTTCGGGCACTTACGAAGAGCACCGGACATGTTGATGAAAATTTCCATCAATTCATCCGCTGAGAACAGATCGGGGTTGTTGTTTTGCGCTGTTGGTTGTCTCCAGAATCCAGGGGAGATGGATAGCTTTGGCCAGCAGAATCACCGGAAGCTTCTTGAGGGGGGCGGGTTGCACCCGCGAATTCGCTTGCCTAAGCTGGGGAGCACGAAGAGGCGGAAAATCCTCCGTCCTGAATGCTGGGGTTTTGTCCTTCTTGCGTCCTGGTTGATTGTTGCTTGATGCCTGCTTTCGGATGCGTTTGAAGACCTCGCGTTTCGAGCACTGTCTGTCGGAACCTTGATGTGCACCACCACAGTTAGCGCATTTTATCGCCACGGTTCCATCCGCAGGCCAGTTGGAAGTGGCGTGTTCTTGAGCGCAGTTGCTGCAGCGTTGCTTGATGTTGCAGTTCCGGGTACCGTGTCCAAAATTGAGGCACCTCTGGCACTGCGTTACGTCACGATGGCCGCCACGGTATGGCTCCCACCGTACGATGATGGAGTAGATCGATCGGATGGCTTGTAGCGCATTGAGCGTCCCTTTCTGGAAGTGCACCAGGAAAAGACAATCCGGGTACGTCTTCACGTTTTCGTCTCTGCTTGTCATTCGGAAGACAGCGATTGCGGCTAGCTTGTACCGGTTGATTTCAGCTTCGACCATCTTGGGGTCGAAGTTTGGTAGACCCCTGATGACTACCTTGAAGGGCTTCTCACCGGAGATGTCGTGCGTGAAGAATTCCGCCTTGGTATCCTTCAGATACTTCACTGCCACTTCGTACTCCGCTTTCGTTCGGAGCATCACCTTGGTGCCGATCCTGCCGAGCTTAAACTCAGCTGCAACGCCCAGCGATGAAAGATCGCCAATCAGTGTGTTGAGTGGGACTTGCTTCACCACCAGTGGAGGAAGCTTAATTTTTGCTGCACTCGGGCTGGCAGCAGTTTCGTTGTCGACGGCGTCGCCGAAATCACCAATGACGCTGACGTTCGTCGCGGTGGCATCGTCCCGTCCACTCGCACCATAGGACTTTCCTTGATTTTTCTTCCTCTTCTTAGACCGCTTCACCATGGCTGAGGTGGGATTCCCTACATCGGTGGGAAGAGTAGCGTACCTATTCGAAATAGGTACACTCAAGCTACCCTCACCGCTGTTCTTCTTCTCCGTTTTCTCTCGGAGCCTGCTCCGGGAGCGCTGTCTTCCCATTACACGAAGCGACCGACACTACTGACGACGCGATTAAACTGCGAATGTTTGGAACAAACTAGAAACTTTAGAACAACTCGACAGAGCGAGCAAAGACCGAACTGTACTGCTTGACGTTCAAGCAGAAAATGGGTGACGATCAATTCTATGCTGACGACGTTCAACTATATATAAGACGGTTTGGCCCGTGTGTTCGTGAGCTAATAAGAATGGTGAACGAAGACCTTGAGAGAGTTGCTGAATGGTCTGATCGTAACGAGCTTTTTGTGAACCAGTCGAAAAGCAAGGCAATTTTCGTTAAGGGACGCCGTCGTAACTCTGTTCACACTGATCCGCTGCCTGTTATCTCCATGAAAGCGAGGGGGACGACTCTATCTACGATGCAAAACAGATTGTGTTTTGCTGTAGCTACCTGCGTGCACGCTGAGTAGATAGAAAGAAGATTGATGACGATTCGGAAGATTTCCTGCAAAAACTTGATGAGCGATGCAAGTAGATGCTACAAATGAAAGAAGATTGTTTGAAGATTGATTCGCTAGTGTGAGATTTGTTGAGCATCTAAACTTGAGATTTAGATGTGTCGCCCCCCTCGCATGAAAGGACAATCCTTTGAATGGACCGACAGAGCTGTAAATCTTGGTTTCGTGTTTCAAGCTGACTTGGAGTGGGATGGACTAATTAATCAGCAATGCGGAAAAATCTACGCTTGTCTGCGCACGCTCTATAGTACAGCTTCTGCCGCACCCTCGAATGTTCGGCTTAAGATGTTCAAAGCTCTAATACTGCCGCATTTTCTGTTTGGAGATCTTCTGCATGTAAACCCCAGCGCAAACTCCATGGGCAGGTTACGAGTTGCACTTAATAGCTGTGTCCGTTTCGTCTATAGGCTTGACCAGTACGCAAGAGTGAGTCATCTCCAGCCAAACTTGATCGGTTGCTCGTTGCAGAATTTGTATGCATACCGATCTTATGTCTTTTTGTGGAAACTTGCCAAGACGTGTTCCCCACCAGCGCTCTTCCAGAAGTTGATCCCGTTTCAAAGCCGTCGACCGCAAAATTTGATCCTTCCACCGAACAGCACGTCAGGTTACGCAAGCACAATGTTCGTCAGAGGTGTGGTAAATTGGAATATGCTGCCTTCTACGATTAAACGTTCGACTTCAGATGCAAATATTAAGAGGGGCTGCCTCAAGTTTTGGAATTGTCGATAAAGGTTAGACATAGGTTAGTGTTTGAATTATATAACTGACGACATACGATGTTATGTACAAAACATTTTACAACACGGAGGTAGTATTTTAAAAGGGGCTACCCCTTACACTGCCAGATGATAAATAAACAAACAAACAAACAAATAATCCTGTCATCTGCGAACAACTCGAGTGAAGCCGAGGGGGGCGACACATTTAAATCTCAATTCTAGATGCTCAAGAAATCTCACACTAGCGAATCAATCTTCGAAAAATCATCTTTCATTTCTCGCATCTACTTGCATCGTGCTCATCTTTTTGCAGGAAATCTTCAAAATCAACATAAATCTTCCTTCTATCTACTCAGCGTGCGTGCAGCTAACCACAGCAAAACACAATCTTTTCTGTATCGTAGATAGAGTCGTCCCCCTTGAGTGAAGCAAAATTTCTCTGGTGCTCTGGTGCTAATTTGACAGCTCCTCCTTTTCCTCTATGATTAAGATTGGTACATGTCACGCCGCGTTGGAGAAAATAGATGGAGTTTCCTAGATAACGTGATAGTAAAGCATGATTCACGCAAATTGTACTCGTCAATTCGAAAACAACTAAATCATTTTTCAATTGTCCATTACGGGAAAGTAAGAATGGTTTTGAAGGCATTACATTTGTTGTCACCTTGCCACATTTAATATTACATGGTTGGAGCTTAAATATGTTATGGATCATGATGTTTTCGGTAGTTTCAAGAACTGGATCGCATTGCAGGGGGTTGGATATAACATGTTGCCTATGCGCCTGACCTAGACTGGAAAAAAGTAAACGTAAGCAAAAAAGATGTGATCCACAAAATTCGATTTCGCTGGAACGTACCCATATGTTTACACTTCCAAGCGAAGTGATATATTTGCGAATTTCCTTTTTCACGCAGGTGAAAAATGTAAAATTTTGTATGAGATTTTCACTTCGCTCCGATCTCGGTACAGGCCTATACGGAAAGAATACAATCGCAATTATCTAATCATTGTTGTTTTCTTGTTAACCTTCTTTCAGGTCCTCCGCAACGACGAGCACTCCACCCTGACCGTCGATGGCGTGTCCCAGAGCCGGACCTCCCGAGGGAAGGAATTCCTGTTTGGGAAGTTCGCCACCAACTCGGACGTGTTTGTCGGTGGCATGCCCAAGTGGTAAGTACCAATAGTCAAAATCTCAACACTAGATATTTTATTTAACTTCATCCAAGAAGTAAGGAAAGTGTACAAGTTTGGCACTAGTGGTCCTCTCATTGGCATTGTTATTAAACTAGAAATTTCATTCACAGGATATTAGTCTCAACGCTGTCCTGCATGACTACGTTGAAAAATTTGGAAATAATTAATTTGAACTTGATTTAGGCCGCATGGCCAGTTGACCGCAGTTTTGGCGTGACTTTCTACCAGCGATTTCATAAAACTGGGCCAACTAATTTCTATTTTTTATGAAACGCACAAATGTTGGCTACTGTTCTCGTGGTTCTAGAAGAAAAAATCTCAAAATACTGTTTTATTTCAAAGTTCGAGTGGTATTAAACGTCATTTTAACTGCTCAATTGAAGTGGTTAATTAGTAAAGCCCGACCTCGAACCACGCCGTATCCATTTAATAATATTGCATAACTATTCAACGGGATAAGATTTGTTAAGTGAATCCGGAATGAAGAACCGCCGCCCTCACCGCCATCAGTCCGTGGTAGAAATGCTTTTCCATAATTAAAAACATTTAATATAAAACTTTATCCTGTTTTGGCTTTTCGGTTCCACCGGGCCACAGAGTGATATAAAAGCTACAGACAGAGGCAGATGCGGGAAAGCGAAGTGGATTCAGTCGTGAACTTAATTCCACCTCCGGTTTAAACCCCCGTAGCACACCAGCACTCCGGAAAGGAATCCGCAAAAGGAACGGTGCGAAACGAGCTTCCTCCCGAATTCGGAATTTTTCCGGCTAGGTCGGTGGGTTGGAGAAAACGGGGAGCTGTCAGATAAATTTCGCTCGGTTGTTCGGAATAAACTTTTTCCATTTGGAAATGTTTTTATGCTCTCTGCCGGTGGTGGTGCAGCTGCAGACGCGCAGACCGAGATTCTGAGGACACCGAAAATAGACGTGCTAGAAATTGGTTTTCCGGGAAATTGGCCTGGTTTGAAGGGGTATTTTCAAACGATATTGATTCCATTGTATTCTTCTTCAGAAAACAAGTAGTTTGATGTGTCGCACGGTAGGCTTCGGTGCCAACCGGGAATTGGCCACCGGTGCAATCCGTTCCGGATTTTTTACCGGTGAAATATTCCACAGGCTGTATCTCGGTGGGTTTGCGCTGTAAAGAAGTATTTTTTTTTTCAAATCCATGAGCTTGAGTAGGAGCTCTTCACATAATAAACACCAACATGCCTACCAATTCACAGAGTGCAGTCGGGTAAATAGAGCGAGAGACAGGCAGGTGACATCTGTCTCACATTCGCAATTTTGCTAGAATCTCAACCAAAGTTTCCATCGTCGTCGTAGCTATCTTTTCGACCCTAAATTGAATAACGTGCTTCCATTGCCGTATCACTTTTAATTAGTGAGAATGCTTTTTGCCAACCTTCTGGCAACAACCGGCTCGCTCTTGAAACGAATGACGACGTTGAGCGGAACGAATTTGGGTCAAGTCTTGGGTGCATGCATGGACTGACTGGGGAGGGGTGGCTGATCCACCTGCTGTGTGTGGTGATGAACAAAGTCTGTTTTATCCTTTCGTTCTTTTTCGAGTCAGAATCAGATACGGCAGCTGCTGATGGGAGTCGGGTGCGAGAAAAAAAAACAGTGCACGACATCTGGATTATGTCGGCATGACGGGTGCTGAGTAATTACCTTGGCTGGGTGGCCATGGACAGATCATTGTACTTGAAATTCTATGTTTCAGAGATAATTTCAGCTCTTTGCTTTCGGTGGAATCGAGTTGCTAACATCGAACACGATTTAAATTGGACGTGGATATTTCAGTCTACTTAAACAAATATCTCATCTCCAGCATGCTTGACATGCACAGTTGTACACACCAACTGCTAATTTGTTAATAACTTTTCACTCAGTTGTTGAAATTTAGTTTTCTTCAAAGTAATTGATAGATTAGGATCATAGTTTACTGTAGACATGCAAAGAGTAGGTAAATTTTATCATTTGAATCAACACCAATGAGTTTTTATACTTAAAGTACGAGATGTGCAGCGAGCAGTTCTCGCTTCATTTTTGCAACGCAAAATCAAATACAGTTTATTACTAGAATTAAAATCTCCTTTTTTTACATATCTATAAAAAAGCTCAAACTCTATTCTATCGACTGCTTCAAACAGAACTATGTTTCGTCAACTCTGTGCAAAGTTATTGGCAAATGAGCAGTTCGTGAGCAAAACTGTGTATGCCAAGCATGCTCACCAGAGTCCTATTCCAATTTGACAGGCGCTCTCTAAAAGGTCTGAGAACTTACCTGTGACCACCATGTTGAAAGAATTGGTTATCAGAACAACATTTCCCAAGACAGCAACGTCCCAGATGGTCAGATTCTCGAGATATAGCACAAACTGGAAGCTCACATTGACACTAATGAATGGATTTTCAACTAACCTAAATGCCCTAGCTACCTGTACCACTCAATCGAAGACAGGAACTTTCTATTTCCTGATTTGAACTACCCATCTGAAGCTTCTGAGGACTGCTGGAAACATTCCAATTCACCGATGAAATCAAAAACTTTCGAAACGTGAAAGACATTCTTGCTCTCGAAACTGTAAGGCTTTCAAGAGTTTCCGGAAGTCCCGAAACTCTGTGAACTCTTTGAAATACAACAGGTTCGGAATACCAGAATAGAAATATACAGCACTGCATGAACCTTTTAAGCTTCAGCATATTTCGAAACTCTGGTACTCTGGAAGCTTTTGAGAATCCTGGGACTTCAATCTTACTATTGTCCATGCGACCTCTTGCCCCTATTCATTTCATTCAACCTTTTGTAAGGTCGAAGGATAAAAGGTCGAAGGACAAAAGGTTGAAGGACAAAAGGATGAAGGACAAAAGGTTGAAGGACAAAAGGTTGAAGGACAAAAGGTTGATGGACAAAAGGTTGAAGGACAAAAGGTTGAAGGACAAAAGGTCTAAGGACAAAATGTCGAAGGACAGAAGGTCGATGGACAAAAAATCGAAAGGAAAAAAGGTCGAATGGATAAAAGATCGAATGGATAAGAAGTCGAAGGACAAAAGGTCCAACAAGCCATCCAATGCATGAGGTCAAAGAATCTCGAATCTACGACAAAAGGTCGAGTGGGAAAAAGGTCGAATGGATAAAAGGTCGTATGGACAAAAGGCCGAATGAAATGTATAGGGACAAAATGTCAAATTAAATTTGTAACGACAAAAGGTCGAATGATCAAAAGGTTGAAATTTACAAAAGGTCGAAATGGACGCAAGGTTGAAAGAACTTTTGTGCAATTTATGTTGAAGTGATTAGTAGCTTTAGCTTCTAAAGAACTGCTCATATTTCAACAAGAGTTGAAAGAATTAAGTTCAAGAAATATCTTCCAAGCATTTTCAGCTGGAGTAATCAATAGCTTTTATCTGTCAAAGAACTGCTCATGTTACCAAGAAGGAGTCAACTTCAAGGTTGAGAAATAACTTTTGAACATTTTCAGCTAGGTTGTTCAATAACTTTTATCGACCAAAGAACTTCCTATTTTAAAGAAGGATTTAACTTAAAGTGGGAGAAAGAACTTTCGATTCTTTCAGTTAGGCTACTCAAAGCCAAAGCTTGGTTTACTTAATTTACATAACATATTTTCATTCTGATTTTTTTTTTTCTTTGATCCACTAAAAGTTATTTGACTATTTGTTCATTTCAACCATTTGAGCATGTGACCATTTTTCTTATAAATTTCATTCGACCATTTTTTTTAATTCGACTTTTTGACCATTCAACCTTTTGTCCATGTCGACTTTTTTCCATTTAAAAAATTAATTCAACCTTTCGTAGATTCGACCTTTTGAGCATTCCACCTTTAATCCCTTGTAATTTAATTCGACCTTTTGTACATTCAACGTTTTGTACATTCGAATGGACAACCTTATGTCTATGCAACCTTTTGTTCTTACAAATTTAATTAGACCTAGTGGGGTGACCCCGGCGTAGTAGTATCCATACCTCTCACGCCAAAATCACGAGTTCAAATTTCACCTCCGGACAAGTCACGAATGACCCAAGAGCGTTAAAGGTACTATAATAATTGAAAAAAAATTAGACCTTTTGATGTGTTGACCTTTTGTTCCGGTATTATTTAATTCGACCTTGAGTCCAATTCGCCGTTTTGTCCATACGACCATTTTGTCTACTTCGACTTTTTGTCCGTTCAACCTTGTGCCCTTATAAATTTAATTTGACCATTTGTTCATTCGACATTCTAGGAATTCGACCTCCTGTCCCTTTAATTTGATTAACCCGATTCGATATTTTGTCCATTGGACTGTTTGCCCATTCGACCTTTTGTCTATTAAGACATTTTGTCCATTTGACCTTTTGCCCTTATAAATTTAATTTGATCTTTTGTCCATTCGACCTCTTGTCCATTCAACCCTTGGTTCATTTGACCTTTTGTCCCGTTTCAATATAATTTGAGCTTCTGTTCATTCAACAGTGGGTCCTTTCGAATTTTTATTCATTTGACTTTTTATCCATTCCGCCTTTTTGTCCATTCAACTATTTTGTCTAATTCAACATTTCGTTCTTATAATTTTATTTTGATCTTTATTCCATTCGACTTTTTGAGAATTCAACCTTTTTGTCCCTTTAATGTAACTCATCATTTTGTCCATTCGACATTTTTATCTATTTCGACTGTTTGTCCGTTCCATCATTTTTCCTTATACTTTTAGTTCGACCTTTTGAACATTCGACCGTTTGTCCCTTTAAATTTGATTCGACCTTTGGTTCATTCGACGGTTTGTCCATTTAACTTGTTGTCCTTTTGACCTTTTGTCCATTTAGACTTTTAGTCTACTCGACCTTTTTGTCAATTCCAACTTTTTGACTTTTGTTCCCTTTAATTTCAATCGACCGAAGTTTTGTCCATTCCGACATTTTGTCCATTCTACTTTTTAGATTTTTGTTGGTTCAACCTTATGTCCTT